TCATTGAAGGACTGCTTCTGCAGGTTTTCTACTGAAGCCCGACAGATTTCGGGAGTAGATCCAGAGTTACTAAGAGGAGTCTTCCTTGGGGGGCTCCGCCTAGAACCCTTCTACTCATCATTGATGTAGGAGACAGTTCGTTCTTATGATGACTTTGTTCACTGTATTAAGGCACAAATCTCTGCAGATGAGGTCATCATTGCTCACAAAGAACAATTTAAGCGATTGGGGGGGGGGGGCAAGCGCAAGAATAATGTCGGGGATACCAATCAAATCTCACAGCGAAAAAAAATTTAGACCACAGGGGAATCATGAGCAACAATTAGAAAAAGAATACACGCCACTCAACACGTCGTTTGTTAACATCTTAATGACAATCAAGGATGAAGAGACTGTCAAGTGGCCAAAGCCGTTAAGAAATCCAGATGGTGGAGATCAGTCTCAATATTATCATTTCCACCGAGCAAAAGGACATTCAACAAAAAGATGTTTTCAATTGAAGGAAGAAATTGAATGTCTAATACGCGAAGGTCACCTAGGTCGTTGCTTACAAGAACAATGTGAGGGGAACCAGAAGAGAATCATTGGAGTTATCGAATGAGAAGTATAACTCCAACTCATCTTATCTGAGTAAAACTCTTATCTGAGTAAAAGACTGGCTTATAAGCTCTTAATTTTATTTTAGCAAAATTTTCATGTTGCTTTAAAATGTCATTTCATTGAAATTTTCTTATTTTCTCATGAAAGATTTTTGTGTAGAAAGCCCCCTTGAAGATGGGAACCTACTATGCCCCTAAAAGTCAAGCCCAAGAGGCAAGACTCGACGGGAAGATACGGTACTCCTAAAAGTCAAACCCAAGTGGTAAGAATCAATGAGAAGCTACCATGCCCCTCGAAGATGAGCCCAAGAGGCAAGTGACTTGCCTCTTCGCCTCATCTTCGAGGGGAAGCTAGTAGTGGACAGGGTCCTCACTAGAAAGACTGCATGAGAGCAAGTGGTTGACAGGGTCTCCACTCAAAGACATCAGAAGGTTACAAACCTCATAAGGCACAGATACACTCAAAGACCTAAAAATGCTACAAGTCTCAGAAAGCACAGGTACATCAAAGACCTCAAAAGGCACTGGTACACTCAAAGACCTCAGAAGGCTACAAGCCTCAGAAGACACATGTACATCAAAGACCGTTGAAGGATACAAGCCTCAGAAGACACAGATACATCAAAGACCTCAGAAGCCTACAAGCCTTAAAAGACACAAGTGCATAAAAATTCATCAGAAGGCAACGAGCCTCAGAAGAATTTTGCACAATTAAGAAGCCACAACAATCCTGGAAGTAATAAAAAAATACATCGTTAACATATACAATTGTCACATCAGATGATTAAAAGACTACAATACCAACAAATACATGTACAAAGGCTACAACAAATTAGTTCATCTTCAATTAGAGTCGGCATCGCCTCCCCCCCCCCCCCCCCCCCCAACTACATCATTTCTTCAGAACGTGCAAAAGCGGCACGGGAATCTCCTTCGGAATATGCGATGCTCCGCCACAACGCGCTGCGTCTCTGCAACGCCCCGCCGCAAAGAGTTGTCGCCACGCGTCGCATCGCCGCGAGCGTCGCAACACTTGGCCGTAACATTTCACCGCAACTCTTCACCGCAATATTTTTCCGCAACTCTTCGTCACAACACTTCACTGTAACGTTTCGCCACAACTCTTTGTCGCAACAAGAAAGAAGATCTCGTTGCTTGTCTGCTACGCAAATCAGAACAACTTTCTTCTTTTGAGAAATCTCGAATCACCTGCTAGGCAGGGATGAAGACTCCACCATTTTTCTCCTCTCATTGGCCTATTTATAGACTAAAAAAAACCATCTTTATGATAAAATTTATTAGAGTCATTAAAAAAAAACTGTTATTCCTTAAAAAAAACAGTTCTTTGTTAAAAAAAAGAAAAAAACTGTTCCTTATTAAAAAAAAATATTAAATAAAAAAAATTGTTACTGCAATAAAAAATATAAATTAAAATTAATTTCTCCTTTAATTTTCGGTTTTTAATTTCAATTTTCTCTAATTTTCGGTTTTGAGGGTCTCCAATCCTTTAATTTCGGGCCGGCCAGCCTGTTGGGCTGAAAGCCCGACCCGTTTAAAAATCAGGAATAGAATTTTTAAAATTTGCTCAGGGAGGATTCGAACACTGCCTACGGCATAAGAAAAAATATATTTACCAACTGAGCTAATAACTTGTTGTTATCTAAATAAAAACATAATAAACTATAATAAAAAATGAATGCCTCTTAAAAATGAAAAAACTTTAGATATCAATATTTTCAGCCGACTAAATTGGACTCGCCCGAAAATAGGGGGGCAACTGATACAGCAACAAAAAATTTTTATCATATGACACAGATCTCGAGGTATAACACGAATCACAAGACAACCTTTTGAGCAAGAAACATTCAATTTTCAATTAAAAGCCATCCAAAGCTCCGATTTCAACAAACTTATAGTCAAACTGACCGACTCGATAATACGAACCTAATGATATCAAAGTTAGTACAATCTGAGTCAAATCAAGCATAGATCAAGTGATTAAATCATTTTTGAAAGATTTCTGTACACATTTGAAAGATCAAACAAATATCGAATTCAGCGAGTTCACACTCAAATTGAGCGTCTTGACAAGGCGAATCCAACGAGCCCAAGATTGTTCAATTTCTACATCGTTAAGGCACTCAAACTTCCATCAAACGCCATCCGATCAAGGGAAGCTCTATGAACTGTCCGATCAAAATAGTTCATATTCTGCATTAATTGCACCCAGAACACTATAAATAGGGACTCACCCCTCACATGAGGGGGAGACTTAAGAGAGAACTTGAAGCTTTGAGAAAGAGCTCAACTCCAACATCATTTATGTCATCGTCTACCTCTGTCGACCACCACTGACCAACAACGACCATCGCCGACCTCTGACGATCGCTGTCAGCCACTCTCGCCCACCGCCGATTACCACTGACCTCTGTCGATCATCATTGACTGTCGTCGACCACCGCAGACCTCCGTCGACCACCACCGACCGTCATCGATTGTCGTCGTCTACTGTCGATAACCACCGACCACCACTAACTAAACGTCGTCAGTCGACGTTGTAACTTGGAAAGCTAGTAACAATTTCTCGTTTGTGGGCCAAAGGGTCTCTGTAATCTTTAACATATAGTAGATTTTTGCAACTGGGTTAGACCCCGTAATTTTTTCCCTTTACTGGTTTTCCACGTAAAAATTTCCTGTGTCATCACATATTGTTTTCCTTTTTATCTGAGTATGCGTTGAATCCTCGTACAACGCTATGACGATAATTCATTACTCTACCGCCTCAAATTTTTCAACATGCATCACTATGAAATGTCAACATCAAAATATAATTTGTGATTATTTTGGGATAACTACACACACACATATATATATATATATAATGCGCGTATCGTGGCCTGGGTGTAGAGCAACCTCTCGGAAGGTCGTAATTACCCTCAAGTCACGGGTTCGAATCTCCTCATGTGTAGGGTGTGGTGCTCAAATTTTTAGCATACCGCGTCGGCCCCCGGACTTACAGGGTTAGCTCAAAGAGGTTTATTGGCGGTTCCACTTGTCGATGAATCTTTAATTACTATATATATATATATACATCTCACTCGAAATGTTGCTATTTATAAAATCTAGCACCAAAGTGCTTTTAACGACTAACTTATGCATTTACATGTGTCACAATCAATCCACTGAAAATTTGATAAAAATGAAAAGCATGTGGCACATCATCAACATCTCGAGGCAAAATTTGAGCGATAAATATTCAAATACGATAAAAAATCATCCAGAGCTCCGATTTCAGCAAACTTATAGTAAAGCTATCTGGGTTGACGAGATAGACCCAATGGTACCAACATTGCTCCGATCTAAACCAAATCGAGCTTTTGTCAAGCCATTAAACTATGTTTGGAAGTTTTCCGGATACACTTGGAAGAGTCAAAAGAAAGTTGAATCCGGAGAGTTCACTGTCAAATCGAGTGTCTTGGTGAGATGAATCTAACGGGCCCAAGATCTCTCAATTTTGACATCGTTAAGACTCTCAAATGTCCATCAAATGTCATCTGATTGAGGGAAACCTTCCTGACCGTACGAAGGGCTTGAAGCTTTGAGAAGAAGCTAAAGTTCAATATCACTTCTGCCGATGTCGACCACCGTCGACCGTCATCGACCATCGTGAACTGTCGTACACCACATCCAACAACCGTCCCCATTGCTTGTCAATTGCTGCTAACCCCCGTCAATCACCATCTAATCACTATCGGTAATCGTCTGTTTTATGCAAGAAGTTTATCTGCACGTCGACGTTATAACTTGGGAGATCTAGTTTCCGCTTACTAGACAAATGATTGTAACTATATTTGTCATTTTATAATGAAACTCTTAAACTGTCCAGACCCACGTTTTTTTTTCCCTTTCAATGATTTTTCACGTAAATATTTCTGTCACTATGAGTTATTTTCTTTCTTTTGAATGTGTGTTGAATTATTGTATCTCGCCAAGATGATAAATCATCATAATTTGATGCACGCATAATTATTTATTTATTTTGAAAAAGGAAGACTAAGCCTAAATTTATTAAAAAAATAATAAGAAATATATAAAAAAAAACAGAACTACATCAAAATAAATCGGAACAAAATAAAAAGAGACTAAAAATGGAGAATCCTCAACAGCAATCTGATAGAATCACCAAACCGGACTGAGCTTCGCATAATTATTTTTCGCTGTGTCACGACGAAACCAACCACGTGTCATGATTTGCCACGTGTCAGACAAAAATTCACATGCACGCCACGTTGATCTCATCCTTCCTATGGTTACACCTCGGCTAGACACGTGGAACACAGATCACTACCGCTAAATATCTTGTTTCAGAAAATTATCATATAAATATCATTTGCTGCGTTCGAAATAAGCGCTGAATCGAGCTTTATTAAGATCTAATGCTTCTTCGTAGCCGTTTGATTCTGCTGAAACCGCAGCCGTCGAAAAACCTGAGATTCTCCGCCGTCCGACTCTGCTCCGGTTCGGCCGAACCGTCGTCGGAGAAAATGGAGAAAAGCCAAGAACAGCAAAAGCCGGCGCCCACAAACGGGTAATTGTCCGGCCGGCTTTCTGAAGAACTGATTTTTATTTTCTGATCTTGTAAAATTCAATGCTAATTTGATAAATTAGATGCTTGTGATATCAGGAATACAATGTCGGATTCATTTGGGCATGAATATGCGACTCGTTCGGAAGAAGAAGGCTTTGGAGGTATTTATGGGTCTAATCAATCTTTGAAGAAGAATGGAGAGGACGAAAGCAATCCTTACAGCGCAGGTTAGTACTATTTTAAGTGAAATTAAGTTATAATTTGATTCTTGTTCTGCAAATTTAATTATGGAATTTGTAATTTTATCAGAAAAAGATGACGGCCAGGGAAGGGGAAGTGGGAAAGGGGAGAAAGCTAGAAATGATGGAGATAACACAGCCGATTAGCTCCTTCATGTGTAATTCTTCTTCTTTTTTGTAGTAGTTTTATTGTGTTGAGATATGTGGAGAGGAGCTCCTTCATTGCAGACTCCTACTGCGGTGTTGTTTTGTGTGTTAAGTTTGAAGGCTTCATTCTGTAGTTCATAAGCAGATTCGAGTTACAGAACTGAGAGTGATAGTTTATTTGTGTTCTTAAGTTGACTCTTTTTAGGGTCTGAGATGAGTTGGTGAAATAAATGGATAGTTTTACTTTCATTTTTCTTTTGCTTTGTTTCTGTTTTTGGGATTTATAACATTTTTAAAATTTTCAACCAACATTACAGTAATTGAACATATTTGCATTTGACATGTCCAACTCAAATCTAACGCAAATTCAAAGTTATTCAGGTGTTGTAGTCGTATTTGCATACGATCGTCTGATTTTTTCCAATGTTGATTTGGGTGTTAGTGATGTTATTTTCGCCAAATGTACATTGAAATTTTCTGATGCAAATAGTTTGTGTTAGTTTTTACGTCTGATTTGTTTGTACAAAATGTGCATCGATATTCTTGTTAGAAATTTTTAGAAGATATATATTAGCATTGAATTTAGAATTTTGATTTGTTTGCAGCAAGTAGGGGAGTAGGTTCGGAAGCAGTGGATGCCACGGGAGACGGAGCACCATCAGGTGCAGGAGTATGTGCCATGCGAATAGTGGCAATAACAAGGGCATCAACATCACTTTGAACAACATCCGATGTACTCTTCTGCTTCAACTAACCAACATTAATTAAAACATCCATATCACACTCACTTTGAACATTTGACAGATTGATGCATTCCTTTAATTCAACCAACCAACTTCAATTCTACTAATAAATCCTCAAATGTACAACCATCATTTTGAACAATAAACGCGATCTTGACATTCCTCCACCTCAACCAACCAACGCGATTTCTAGTAATAACTGCCCCTTCTGTATCACCATCAATTCGAACAAAGATATGATGCATAGCTTCAATTAGATCAACTAACTTATGAGAACGGGAAGGGCAACTGCTTCTGTAGGTAAGAACTCAAAGAAAGATTTTCATTTCTAGAGTCGTGAACCAACGAGTCTTTCAGTCAGTGGGCATTAAGCGTAACGAGCTTACGGAATTCTATTAATAGATAAATACATGCACCTCAATATTGTATTTATATAGCTAACCTCTACGTTTCAATTTTTATGAAGATATTCATGCATACCACTCAATTCTTATGTATGTACATACCTAACGCCTATATTTCAATCTTTTACATACATATCACATTTACATAACTAAACAAAAAATTAAATGATAGAGATTTAAAGGCACAAATGGAATTATATTCCTAAATATTTTTTGATTGGAGCGAAGCGGAAGGATGAGAATTGCCGGAGTTTCGGTGGTTTCTTTAAGCCAAGTACCGTCGCTAAATTCCCAATTAAGCTAGTACCTAATGGCAGTTGTATCACGAATTGTCCTTCGGGAATGCGATGGTTTTGAGCGAGCCACAACAGACATGGAAGGGGAGAGTGAAAGTGGAGAGGGATGTTGTGTTAATCTAGTTGTCTCTAGAAATTGTTTATGTATTTTTGCACATTTTTTATGTGGATTAGGAGGTTTTGAAAACCGTTTTGTGGTTAGGTGGTTAGGAAAACCGTTAAGTGGTTCGTTAGTTTTATTTTCACAAAAATGTGATGTATTTGCTTATAAATTAAACCAGAAAATATAGAGGGTAGGTGAACTACTAAAAAAAAATTCCTCCATTTTTGTTGGCGTTGGCGTTTAAAGGTTGGCGTTTAAAGTTTGGTTTTGATAACCAACATTTGATATCAGAGAGAAGGTGTCAAAGAAATGGCCGGAAAAGATGAAGATCCATCTAAGTCACTTGTTGTCATCAAACCGACGGCCAGAGGGGCCTCAAACTCCCGATCCAATTTCCAACGTTAAGTGAAACGAACTACAGCATATGTGCTGTCAAGATGAAGATAATCGTGTGTTCACTAGGAGTATGGTCAGTGATTGAAGGTGAAGAAAAAGACGATGAAAAAGATCAAGGCGCCATAGTAGTCATTTCTCAAGCCGTGCCGGATGACGTAATGATGGTAATCGCGGAGAAAAAGACGGCAAAGGAGGCTTGGGACGCACTCAGGGAGATGCGAGTCAGCGAAGATCGCGTTAAGAAGGCACGCGTACAGGTTCTGAAACGACAACTGAACAAGTTACACATGGAGGATTCAGAGACAATAAACGAATTTTCCATGAAGCTTACCACGTTGGTGGGTGAGATCCGCTCACTGGGCACGAAGTTCGACGCCAGCGAAATTGTTGAAAAATTGTTCAGTGCAGTTCCAGATAGATTTCTCCAAATTATTGGAACAATCGAACAATTTGGCGATATTGAGAAGATGTCGGTATCCGAGGCGATAGGTCGTCTCAAGACCTTCGAGGAAGGGCTTAAAGGGCGACTGCACTCAAAGGGTAGTGGAGAACAATTACTCCTTACCCAGGCCGAGTGGGAGGCAAGAATCTCAAAGGCAAAGAAAGATGAAGGTTCCAACAGCAACAAAAGAGGGGGATGTCACGCGAGAGGACGTGGTCGTGGGCGTGGATATGGTGGAGGTCGAGGCGAAGACCGAAAGCCACGTAACTTCGACAAATCCAAGGTTAAGTGTTTCAATTGTAATGAATATGATCATTTTGCAAAAGTGTGTCCCAAACCAAACCAAAGAGAAAATGCAAATCTTGTTACAACGCAATCCGAAGATGAACCAGCACTGTTGATGACAGAAACTTGTGTTCTCAACGACGCAATACAGAACGAGCAGGTGTTACTGCATGAAGACAAGGTGGTGCCAAAGTTTAATAGCACCCGAGAGAAAGCTTGGTATTTAGATACCGACGCAAGTAACCACACGACCGTTTGTATCGAAAAATTTGTTGAAATTGACACGACAATTAAAGGGCAAGTCAAATTTGGGGATGGTTCGACTGTAGAAATCCAAGGAAGAGGTTCAGTTTTGTTTGAAGGCTTCGCAGGTGAACATCGAATACTTACTAATGTCTACTACATCCCGATGTTGAAGAGCAACATAATAAGTCTTGGCCAGTTAGATGAGAACGGATGCAAAGTTGAGGTTGAAGGAGGTGTTATGACTATTTTAGACAGATCACAAAAGTTACTAGCAAAAGTGAACAGGTCACGCAACCGATTATATATGTTTAACATAGCACCAGCTCTCCCCGAATGCCTTCTGGCTAGGAGCAAAGAAGAAGCATGGCGATGGCATGCAAGGTATGGGCATGCTAATTTTAATGCTTTGAAGTTTCTAAGTCAGAAAAAGATGGTGCACGGCTTGCCCAAAATCGAGCATGAGGACCTCATCTGTGATGGTTGTTTGATTGGAAAGCAACATCGAAATCCTTTTCCAGCAGTGGCAAAATTCCGAGCAGAATCACCTCTTGAACTGTGGCATGGAGATTTGTGCGGCCCAATTACCCCTGCTACTCACGGAGGGAAGCGCTATTTCTTGTTGTTGGTTGACGATTGTACCAGGTGCCGATCCGAGACAAAAATGAAGCATTTAAGAAGGTCAAAGTTGCAGCCGAAATAGAGAAAAACAGTAAGTTGAAAGCTTTGCGCACGGATCGTGGTGGTGAATTCATCTCAAATGAGTTCAAGACTTACTATGACCTGTTGGGAATTAAGCGTTATCTCACGGCGCCTTATTCTCCTCAGCAGAACGGAGTTGTTGAACGACGAAATCAGACGATGGTCGGAATGGCAAAGAGCTTGTTGAAAAGTATGGAAGTCTTGGGCGAATTTTGGGGAGAAGCGGTATCAACTGCCGTATATATCTTAAATAGAGCACCAACAAAGAGCGTCATCGCCAAAACACCCTATGAAGCATATTATGACCGCAAGCCAAGTGTCGATCATTTTCGTATTTTCGGTTCTCTTGCACATGTAAAAGTAGTTACACTGCATCTTCCGAAGTTGGCTGATCGTAGCAAGCAAATGGTGTTCATTGGTTATGATATGAACACGAAAGACTATCGAATGTTTGATCCAGTGACAAGACGAGTTGTGGTGACATGAGATGCAGTGTTCGAGGAGAAGAAGAAGTGAGACTGGAGTAAATCTCCAATAACAGGTACAGGATCAACAGGAAAAACTCTTACAACACATTATTTTACCATAGCAGATGCATATGATACGACAAATCAGGAAGATAAAGAGACGTTCAACGGTTCTGGTATTGATATCAAAAATTCTGGTATGGATTTCCCACAGGCTACACGGGAACAAACTGATAACCAATACCAGCATGCTTCACCAGTGATGAACATCAGATTCAGAACATCTGTTTCAGATCCTGATTCATTGACACCACACACTCCAGATACAACTTTTGATGCTCTTGATGGTTCGGCCTCGACAAAAGCAGTGAAGCCCACAACATCTGATGAGAGTTCATTAGAAGGACCACGGGGTAAGTGTGACATCAAAAGCCTTTACGATGAAACCTTCCCAATAGAACTAGAGTATTCGGGATTGTGTTTGCTAGGAGAGGAGGAGCCATCAACTCTAGAAGAAGCTAAAGCAGACCCGATGTGGAGAAAAGCAATGGAGGAGGAAATTTCTTCCATTCGAAGGAATGAAACCTGGAAGCTCGTCCCATTACCCGAAGGCCACAAACCTATAGGTCTAAAATGGGTTTACAAGCTAAAGAAGGACACTCAAGGCAAAATTGTGAAGCACAAGGCGAGATTAGTGGCAAAGGGGTACGTTCAACGAGAAGGCATAGACTTTGATGAAATTTTTGCCCCTGTTGCTTGGCTAGAGACAGTACGTTTGCTACTCTCTATTGTGGCACATGAAGGATGGGAGGTTCATCATATGGATGTGAAGTTAGCCTTCCTCAATGGTGATTTGGAAGAGGAAGTGTATGTCAATCAACCGTCGGGATTTGAAATGAAGGGAGAAGAGCACAAGGTGTTAAAACTGCACAAAGCATTGTATGGTTTGCGACAAGCACCTAGAGCCTGGAACTCAAAACTGGACAAATCATTGAGGACACTCGGTTTTGAGAGGTGTTCTTTAGAGCATGCAGTGTACATGAGAAATCAAGGTAAAAGGATTTTAATTGTTGGAGTCTACGTGGATGATTTAATCATCACTGGAGAGTGTATTCAAGATATAGACAAGTTCAAATCACAGATGAAGAAATTTTTTAGC